AGCACTTCTGCTGAAGACAACACACGCCCTGACACACACCAGGCCCCACTATCCAGCACTTCTGCTGACAATGACACTCAACGCAACACACAGATGGTACCTACAGAGCCACACATCTCTGATTCAGGCTCTTCACCATCTACTTCTCAGCAACAGGAAGACACATCACAAGACGATGAAACATTTCCTGTTGAACAAATACTTAGATGTAAACGGGCAAAGGGTACCAAAATGTACCAAATCAAATGGTTAGGCTATTCACAAACTACTTGGGAGCCTGCTTCCAATCTTGATCCATCCCTGATCAAGCATTTCCATAGGTCTCGGACAATGTCTGGTAGGCGGCGCAAACTTGGGCGCAAGTTTTTTTTCAGTAGATCATTTGCATAGGTGTTGTTTGGCTACCACAGTGATCTTTATGACGTGAGTCAATTTGCCATTGTTATGAGTGACCAACCCCTTTTGCAGTTACCCAGTTTCTGTGTCCTATAGTGCTAGGTTGTTTTGATGTTTGTGGCCACAACATTCTTCTCAGCCAGGTCAACTCTAATGGCTTCCTTTCTCATTTCATCAAAGGTCCGTCCTGGAGCTTGATAATCCTGTGGCTTATGGCTCTGTTCGCTCATCCTACCCTTGGCACCAGTCCAGTACAAAGACTCAACTATGGCATAGTTTTTCAGCCTACCACCCAAGCCCATTTCTCAACAGAATATTGGACACACACTTATGAAGTTAAGATGCCCCATATTCCAAGCATTCCTACCATGAGCGGATGTCATCAAGGCAATGGCACATGCGCTCTCCTACATCAAATACAAATGCATCTTAACGTTATTAAAACTAAATGTGTCGCCAAACTGAATGACACAAGACAGCAAATACTTAAATTAATTCCAGAATAAAAAATCCCATCATCCAGTCGTTCAAAACGAGCCGTCCTTAGTTTTGTAGGTTCACTTTCAAAAACTTTATTTGGTACAGCCACAACTGACGACGTCAACCTGCTGGCCAAGCATATAAATGCGCTTACCAAACATGACATCAACCTTTCAAATGTATTACAGCAGCACTCAGTCCACCTCTCCTCTTTCATGAAATTAGTAGACACTCGCTTTAAAAAATGCCCTAAAAGGCGTTAAGGCAAATCATGATGCCATCACGTTCACAGCCACTGCAATACAGAATAACGCTAAAAATATCCAATCCACCTTTGCATCCCTGACTTCCCTTCTAATTGACCAAATACAAAAGTCAAATACTGTGGAGCATCAGCTTGAGGAACTGAAATTAGGAATTTTAGACTTGGCTAAGAATAAGTTGTCTCCCCTGCTCATTGCCCCTCATATTTTGGAACAAACGATCCATCATCTGGCATTAATTTTATCCAATAAATACCCAAATTTCCATTTGCTCCAAACAAGTCCAACCTTTTACTATTCTCATGCTAAATTTATCTTCGCTCGCACGAAGTCCCATATCTATGTTTCTGTTAAATTTCCCTTATCTTCTTTGGCTACACCTTTTCAAATATATAAAGTTATCTCTGTCCCAGTGCCTGTGAACAATACTTCCTCCCACTCCACCCAACTGTTGGACGCTCCATCTTATTTTGCCCTTTCATCTGATTCTCGGCATCACATTAGCCTTGATCCTTCTAGTCTAGCCTCCTGCACAGGTGATGATTTTGTTATCCACTGTCCCTTCAGAATAGCGCTTCAGTCTTCACCTAAACCATCATGTGTCCTTGCACTTTTCCAAAACAGTAAAAGTCTCATCAAGTCACTTTGTGATTTCCGCTATGTTACGAAAGCTCAACCACCTCAACTTATCTCAGTCGATTCCTCTAATGTCTTAGTTTATAGAATTCCATTTCTTACACTTACCTGTCCCACCATGCATCGTGTGATTTCTGGCTGTAATTTTTGTCTTATTAAGACTCCTTGCTACTGTTCTCTCTCTACTGAAGATCTATTTTATCCGGCACCCTTTGGTTCATGTCGGGCTTATCACAATCAAATCACACATCTACATCCTGTCAATCTTGCTCTTCTTCAACACTTCTTTGATGACTCTACCCTCTCTAGCATTGCTGGTGATACCACCTTTCGAAAAATGGTTAATTTCTCAATTCCTAAATTTAACATTTTTTCGCATGAAATTTCTAGTGTTTTGGCCAATGATCAAAAATCGCATCTAAGTCTGAAGCGTGTGGCAGAAAGCGCTAAGAAAACTGAAACAATATTTCAGTCTATTGCGGAGCCTCTGCTTGATGGGCAAATCACCTTACCAAGTTCCTGGCCAGATACTAATGCCATAATTGCCATAACAGCTTCAGGTACTTCAATTCTTTCGATTATCTTGTGTATTTGGATGTTTTACAAAATTCGTGCACTCTCTGCAGCACTGTTATTGGTCACTCGGGTTTCTCCAGTAACAACGGTACAACCCCCATCGTTGAATTATAATCCCCAAACTACTGCCAGTCCCAGCTTCGTTGTTTCTGATCTTGCAGACTACCATGTCTCAATTCTTCTGGGAGTCATCACCCTTGCTGTCACCTCTATTCTTCTCCTCCTAATCTATCAACGCAATACTCGCAATACTCACAATGGTCTCGTTCTGGAACTCACCACTGGTCCAGAATGTGTCACTGTCCCTATTCTGTCTCTTAGCCTCTGCCCGTCCTATTGGGACGTGCAACCTCCTTTTACTGTAGAACATCTCCGTGTCTCAGGGTACTTCTTTCCCACCCTCACTGTCGACTGGCCTGCCTTCACAGTCACTAATCTTCTGACCAACACCGCACTAACTGTCCCCAGCACTCTGCAAGTCTCTTTCTTTACTGCCCGTAAGCTCCAGAGAATGTTCACCCAACCTTTTGCTGCCTACATCTTAATGGTTCATGATGGTCGTTATCAAATCATAAATCATTCCTCCATGTCAAAAGAATTTTAAGTGGGCTGTCTGCACAGTACATACCTAGTGTCATATCATTATATTGTTTGTACATTCTTTCACTGAAGTTTATTGTGTGCTTTGTATTGTATGCATTATAGTATCGTTACATCTTTGTCTTTACAATAGCAGAAGCTAAACAAAAGGCTTTTGCGGTCAAAAGCTCCACGACGCCCAGGGGTACTATAACAGTGCCAAAATTTACCTTACTTGTCTTCAAGTTTTTATCTATTTTTGATTTGTTTTACAATCTTATAATTTTACATTCTCAGTCCAGTTAAGGCACATAGTTTTCAGAACCTACACAACTATTCTCAAATCTATAACATTCAAGCTGCCAGAACCGGACTAGCGACTCTGGGAGATTAGTAAGTGTTAGGCCACTGCTCTTTGTGTCTCAGACACACAGTGATTAACAGAGTAGGTGCATTGTCGAGCTAGACACGGCTGGCCAACCCAAAACAATTAACAAAGGCCACCGACCCGAACGGTAACATTCCAGCAGCGATTATGTTTCCAATTAGCTAACTTTGCCCCAGCTTTGGCTACCCAGCTTTGTCAAACTTGCGTAATATGACCAGTGTGACATGCGCTCTTCGACTTGCTTTCAAATTCGAACAGGAGATTCGGGTATAAATGCAGGTGTAGCTCGCCACTGAGTTATTCCTGTTTTGCCTGAGATCCTCTCTGTTTGTATTTGAAGGTAAGTCACTTTTACTTGTTACTTTTTCATTTGGTTAAATTTGCTTAAAGTCCTTCTAACCGTGTTACCCTGCTTGAACAATGAAATCATCTTACTTATTCTAAAGTGCTGCTCGAATTTTCCGTTTAGTCGCTATATGTTAATTCCTTGTAGTTTAAATATATAATGAAGTTTATGAATAATCTAGAATCCCAGATAAGAAATCATTACTTTCACAGGTCACCATTAGTATATCAGACGCCTAAACTATTTCAGTTAAAATAAAACGTTCGCTTTAGTTATTGGAGTTGTGGATGCTTAAAGTCAATAAATGCCAAACGTGTATAACGTTTACAACATGTTCTAAGCATCTGTATTTTTATCTCGGTCGTGTCACTTGTCATATTGTTTGTTATTTCAATTGAATAGTTTTCTGCAACAATATTATAATTATTTCTCTTGACCAATAATTCTGAATTACCAGTTAACTGAATATGTGTCCTTTGCCTTCATGTGTTTAACTGTAATAAAGATTCCTGTTTTGCCTGAGATCCTCTCTGTTTGTATTTGAAGGCGTGGAGATCCCGCTAATTCCCCGAGCTAATTCCCCGTAACAATTCTAGGTCGAACTTAATCAACAGTAGCGCAAGCATAAGAGTTAACTGTTTCACCGACTCGTGTCCCTCTCGTGGCCATCTTTGCGACTTGGTTCTGTCTTAGCGCAAACGGGCACAGTTAAAATAATTGTCAACGTATGGGACTACTTCCAAAATTGCTGCCAATGTAACTCCCATAAAAACTCCAGAGAAAGTGTTTTTGGCTGGGTGTACAACCCCCTACCGGCTTTTCCAACCAAGTCGAAAGATAAGTGTCGGAAAAACAATCATAGATCGTTTGGAAGACTTTTTTAGAGAAGATTTTCCCATGAAAGACCAGCCATACTTGTTTCTGTATACAACTTGTTTCACGAAGATCAACAATTGTTATGAATTTAGATGCTTCACAGAATGCCATACGGGTATTGTCTACGCTTCAGCGTGTGAAGAGACTAGCCCGAACGCCAGCTGGTGCTTCCAGTAAGAAGTATCACGTTGATGAGGACATCAGAGATGAGAACGCCGACCCAACTGGCACATCAACCAAACGTAAGGTTAAAGCTAAGAGAAAGTTGCTTCTGACTAAACCAAGGCGAAAGACAGTGGCTCAGGTTATAGCTGAATCTGTCAGCCTTGACACGAGTGGCTCAGTGTTATGGAACAACTCTGAAAAACACATGATATTCCGAAGAGTAATAGTAAGCCTTTGGTCTCCATCCTACCCAGCTCAAATAATGAGAAGCAACAGTTAGCCGCAAAAGAACTTTTGAGCGACCCATAACGCTTGGTGGCAATATCAAAGCCCTCACAGCACAAATCAAACTAATGTGTGCACCTGGGAAGAGTGTTTTATGTAATAAAACACCTGTGCATTTGTCAGACACTAATGTGTTAGCGGCTGCTGTCTGTGAACTGAAAGACAATTGCCCGGTACTATTTGATGTGATCCATGCTGCTCTTGGTGACAAGATACCTCAGTTCAAAGGTAGCAACAATCGCCATTATGCATTGAATGATACTCCACAGCAACAACAATAAAGTATCAGCAGTGCAGAGACTCTTCACAACCGCCGCCATAAATTATCATGCCGACAACAAAGTATATTGAACTAGCTCTTATATTTGAGTTTTAAGTTCATTCTATTTTGCCAGTTTGAAGTAAGTTCTGTAGCAGATGAAAGTTGGAAGAATGCGTACTCAAATAGACTTGAAATATATAGTACTTTCTTTTTGAAAGTTACGACAGGCTAGCCTGTATTATACTTCACCTTCATATTTTGTGAGCGTTTCTTGTTACATGCCCTCCCATACTCCACATCCCTCCCATTATTATGTATGTAATGAACTAGGAAATAGTACTTTTTCATTGTAACTATCAAAACTGGAATCCCTGTGTATGTATTGATAAATTGTCATGAAAATAATCCTGCTTATACAAAGTAAATAAATTGTTTTGCGTGTTTAATTAAATCTACTTGTCTGGAAAAACCCCAACATGACAAAGATGTAAACAGTATGATAGTAACAATGTCATTGTTAGATGGAAGCATTTACTGTGCCCTTATGCATTCTTTCACCTGATATTTGTTTGAGAATGTGTTTGACATGCATGCACATGTCATTGTTATTTGTTTCACCGTTGACTCGCACAGGAAGTCACTTTACAAACTGTATGTTTGACAAAGTAAAAGTTAATGTGATTAAACGTAAGGAGATGCTCCATGATGTGTGGTGGGAAACAACTGCAGTGTAAAGTGATTTCAGAATATTTCAGAATGGTTTTGTAAGTTCAAATTTGGTCAACACTGTATGAAACATATTGTTCAAACATTCAGCTTTATGATTGAATTAATGTCATGTAAATGGAGCAAGAAACTGCTGAACACATAAAGTAAGAATCTGGTTTGTTGAAGAAAGCATTTGTGTAGGTGGTCCATGATTTCACTTCTATTTTGTCTATTTCCTGTGTAGTTTTTAAACACGAAATGAACTTTCAACACCATGAATTTCAAAGTTTCGATAGAACATAGACTTGTTTCATGTTACATTTTCATTTGTTCTAGCATGATTTGTACTTGAAAGGAGTGTCCCCCAGGTGTCAAAGTAAGTGAACATGAATATTATGTACCTGACTGTAGAGTAATTGTTAAATGTATGTGCTACATGACAGTAATGATTGAAGTAATGTCACTGTGCAATTTACATCTGCATTAATTCTTCAAACGTTAATAACTGATACATCAACTAAATAGTAATGTTATAGTGAAATGTAGATAAAGCTGTACTTGATTTTGTGTAATTTCTCCATGTTCATGTGTTTCAATGAATGTATGGTATGTTGCAGCTGTTGTCACTGCTCAACAAAGTTCATGTCAATCTCACAGACAAGTCAAAGGATCATTTGCTGGACAGCTATGCCAATCATTGTGAGGAGGATATCATCAGATCTATTTCATCAGGTATGATCAATATGGGATGATTGTTCATTCAGCCTTCTAAGTTCTTTTCACTCCACTCTAAAGTTCTCTCTTGATTGAATTGCTGTGCCAATCGGATAATTTATTCTTTAATATTTGTAAGGGTTTGTGTTTAGTAGGGGAGGGGTGGGGAAGAGGCATTTGCCATCTTATCTTATATAGATATTGTGAGCAGTTATTTGTTCTTTTAGAGAAGCAGGTGGTGAGTAACAGATAAATTCAGGTTGCCAATCATAGACCTATGTCAGAGGTTTCATAATTCTGGATTGATTTTTTTTCAGGAACTTATGGAAAGATACATGGAGATAATCTTGACCTAAGAGTCACTACACATGACATCAGGATGACCAACAAGACCAAAGATTACCACTTCTTTGCCTCAGACTTTGTTTTGGACCGTGTCAATGTGATGCATCTACCCGATAATGCTCCGATTGGAAATGTTGACCAAATTGGCACAGATTGTTTCCTCCCAAACTGTAGAGAAATTGAGAAATTCAGGAACTGTCTCAAAATTTTCATTGCTCGGAAATTAGTTCAGCACATCAGTGGACTGTCTTGGATAAAAAGCATTTTTCCGGAACATATACCCCATGACCGTCAAGAGGAAATGTCCAAGCGTTCAGCCATATTCCTCCTCCCAATAATGTTGAAGAACGAGTCGAAGTACTCAGACTGCATCGGCATCATGGCTGGTTACGTGGAACTGATCAACCGCTGGTATGCGAAAGCAGGAAGAGGTAATTTACTCATTAGCAACATAGCTGACAGTAACCAGAAGTTAACAAAGCTATGTATTTGAAAGAGAATTAATTACATAAATAGTGTGGACTGATTAAGCAGTTACTTTTCTCTGCAAACAGCCTTCTTTTGCGCCTTTAAATCTCCAACAGATTTCTTAATATGTATTTTGTAAGTGGAAGCTGATGAATCCAAACCCATCCTTAAATGTTGTAACAGGATCAGAGTTAGAGATCATGCAAGTCCCTGTTGGGGGAGATCAACTGACCCGAGTGCGTCTGCAAGGAGCCAAGGCTTTAAGGGAAGGATGCCACACTCGACATAGAGACTTGAGTAATTGGAACCAGTTGTTGTGGAAATGTTTCACACACTGCAGGACTTTCTAGAGGTATATTATACATTTAGCAAAGAGTTCATATAAGATTAAATTAACTATCGGTGATATTATGATTATGTGAACTGTGAAACAAATCATAAACTTCTGAGCCTGCTGCAAGAAACTACTGAAGCCAAGAAAACCTGTTTGGAATGGGTTCTTTCACAAATGAATGCTGCAACGGAGTAATAAATTTATTTGATGAAGTGAAAGTGCTGATAACTGAGTTTTGGTACAGACTTATCTAACATGATTCTTTTATACAGAAACTCTGCAAGAAATTCCTCAAACTTGAGAAGGGCACCAACAAAGGTACGCTGTGTCACCTGAAGATGGTAATACAGAGATCAAATTTGATTGGCAGGGTGAAAGTCAGATTTAAGGTATGGACATAACCCCAGATATCGAGTAATTAAGGTTCTGATGCCATTATATAAACCATTTGTCACTAGGCTAAACAATCTTGTGAAGTATTATTTGGTTAGCAACTTAGCACTGCTTATAATATAACAGGTATGTTCTGACTAATGGATATTTTCAGAGCATGTTCCAAGTCAAACGTCGTCACGATATGGCTGCGATATTGCCGATGTGACGTTAAATATTAACTCACTCACTCCAAGTCAAACGTAACTCTTTGACACTGTGATGTTTCATTTCAACAGGCGCATGAGCAGTTTGTGGATGTTGTGGGTAATTCGTATCTCCTGAATCTTGCAATGGATAAGTTGAACATGCAAACTATCAATGACAGTCCACAACACCCAGACATGCCTGAAACTATTAAGATATGGCACAGTGAGAAAGTGTTCAACAAGTTCATGGATGACATCCTCGACTCTGTATTCATTCCGCCACTGCAACAACAAACTGTAAGTTTTGCACCTGCACACATATATATTATATAAATAAACGGGTGAAGTTCAGCAGTGTAACGTAGTACATATATACAGAAATCACAATAGTGACACAACCCCAAATTCCCTCTTACATGTTTCAATTAATCTTTATCTTCAGTTACAGGGTGTTTTGTTATGTTCTCGATTTATTGTGGATTGTGTGTTTGTAATGAAATATATATAATTTAATGGGATGATTGTGTTTAAGGGATGAAATGTTTGTCTATGGTTAACTTAACAGAAAAGCTTGTACGGTCTGTTGAAGTCAAAATGATGCACTCAGTTTTTATGTTTGAAACTTTTCAGACATCAAGCTCCAAGACCGCAAATATCAGTGTAGTGATTGGAAATAACACCAGAAAGCTAACACTAATTGTCGAAGATGGAAATGTCAATGTGACGCTACACACACCAGGCAACAGGTACATTATTAGTGTATCCATGGGACAAGTGAAGAATGGGGTGTCTGTTGCAATTCCCGGTGTTTTCCACTCTAGTGACCATACAAGAAGATGCAGCAATGAATGATGATCTGCACAATTATGCTGTAAATTTCCTGAATTGGTACTTTGTAGTTCTGGGCATGCAGGATGCTACAAGGGAGGGAAATCTTGAGTTGTGCAACATTTTGTTAAAGTTCATGACACCTCTGTTTATTCACATTCTTCCCTATCCAAATATATGTCTGAGTGTCTGGATTACATATTGAAAACAGAGGTCATGTTGACTCCACGCAAGTCTATGAAAGTCAGAGCTGCCTCCTTTGTGAATTCAACTGGCAGGAAACGGCACAACAAAGCCTCAGACATGCAAAACGAGAACCAGGTGTTAGTCTTAAAGGACTTGATCCGAGGATTGAGTGCAAACAAAACTGTAAAGATGTTCAAAGTAGCACCACACCAATTCTCACGAAATGTGCACCAATTGTGTAATTTCTTGTCGTAGGCACGTAAGTTGAATATTTGGGGTTTCTTGGGGTTTACTATGACTTTTATCTCGAAGTTACACGGAGAACCACTTATTCAAACTGATAGCATGTGTACATATGGTGTTTAGTACAATACATACCAGTATAAACACCTCGTTTTGCCCATTTTGCTCTTGTCGCACAATGGGGGTGGTCTAATAAAACCATTCTACTTAATCATTATATACACTGTAGGTCAGGGGAAACTGTATCATGAAGACCTTCGGTGCTTGCAGTATCGAAGGGCATATACCTCTTTGCAACAGCCCATAACAGAAAAACAATTTTTTGTCGACATAATTTTCTGTTCGATACATTTCTTTTTTCAATTTAAACATGTACAATGTACAAAGAAACTGTTGAATAATGGTCAAACTAACTGAAAATTGCTCAACAAATTCATTTATAGGAAGTAATTTCATCCCTTACGGATGCTTTTCTTTGTCATTGTGGCGAAAGTTACTCAAAGAAAGGTTTGTTTTAAGCCTGTAATCTACGGGACTGTCCTGCTGTCAATATTACACAGCCTGCCGATGTCTCCACCCTGTGCATGGACGACAGATATACATTAACCTCATTGCCTAATTAGAGTGAAGTAACACATGATTTTAATATGACAAGGTAAAGAAAGTCAAGGTGTAATTTTCGTGATGTAATTTTCGTTACCACATTTAAGACCTTGTATCCAAGTCCTTGTTTTATGGTGGTAAGCATGGCTGGGATGTTTCCCTGTAACAAATGGGAGTTACATCCCTTTGTGAAAATCGCGGTTTAGAGCGCCCATTGCACTTTGACGTCAAGAAGACGACTTTGAAAACGTCAAATGACAGAAGGTGTTATCTGATTGACTGTCGACCAAAGAAAAGGTATGTATACTTGTCAGTGTATATGTGTATACCATCATAGTATGTTGTTCATACATAAATTCCTTCCCTGCTCGTATATTTTGGAAATATTAGACAGTGCAGCAAATACACTGATGGTAACGTGATTACAGACGACTGGACTTTTGAAACAAACTTACATCCACACTGTTGAAAGATTATTGATGAAGGTTCCTTGGATGTGATTTCGTTTTGCCCTTTATGCAAAGGGTTTTATGTTTTTTCATATATGCGGTATAAAGAGGACATTTATTTACACTAGACAGTGTCTCAAAGTAGTGGTAACGAAGATTACAAATATTGCAGAATGAGATATTTCCTTCAAATTCCGAAGCTATAGAGAAACGTAAATCAATGTTTTCAAGACTGGCAGAGTTGTCTGTTCGACAAAAAGAAGTCTGTCATCCAAGATGCCGAGGAATTGTTTAAATGGGGAACGGAGAACCACAAAAGCTGCTCCTATCTGTTCGTCAACAGTGACGAGATTGCTGCTGTCAAGGAGGAACTTCAGGAACTGACTAAGACCACAGTCCCCTTGAAAGGAACCATGAAGATTCATGCAATCATTGGAACATCAAAGGGAAACATAATGGCAAGAACCACATCTTGCTACTGTTCCATGTGTCCGGATGGTAATTACCACACTGATTGGTTGCCCTCCTCTATCTTGAAGCCCACTGCTCCTCGACCGGATGTTGTTACACCAGAGCCTTGTGTAGAACCTTCAGTAGAACCACCGGTAGAACGTACAGCAGAATCGTCGACAGAATCTTCATCAGAACATCCAGCAGATCTGGAACACATTGATCCTGAGCGGAAGCAAGCTCCTGCTACACATCAACCCCGCACAGTCGTACCTACCAGTGGTGACTTCATTGCTGCTGTGTACCAAGGCAATTGGTATCTTGGAGTGGTCAAAGAGGTGGACCCGGATGACAGTGATTGTCATTTCAAATGGTCAAGACGTTCGGATGAAATCTGGGATATTTGAGGATATTCTTTGTACCGTTCAGCCCTCTCAAGCCACTGGTCGTTATCGGCGCGCTTTCAAACTAACAGCGCATGATGAAGCACACATTACCATGGGTTTCAGAAATGTGTTGTAATTTACGACACCATTCCACAAGCAGTTAATTTGACAATTTCAGGATATGTAACAGAGCCATGTAGCTGTTCTTTTCAGTATGATTCGTTAGTTACTTGATTAGACGTCCCTCGTGTTGTCTCGTTGTATTTCAGAAACCTGAAATTTTCGTTACTAATAGTTGTAATCTACAAGACATTTTCAGAATGGTCGACAAATTGTTATCTTCATTATTCTGTATTTGATTCTTAAACAATGTTTCTGTGGCAATGTTGGTATTTAGCCTTATATAAAAGTTTGTTTGGTAGATATATGTAATAGGGCTAATTGAATTGAAAGTGATGTTATCCTTCCACACAAGTTCTTGAGAACACAAGTTATTGTTTTCAAGAAAGCTGTGTCCTATCTCTGATGACAGAACACATACTGACCGTGACTATTCATATCACCTGACTCCCCGGCAGTAATGAACAATATAACATCATGTATGTACTTGCTTTCTGCAGAAACTACTGGCATGTGTATGTTATCTATGTGCATAACGTAGATTACATTGTTAAAAAGGAGGGGTCAAGTTCAACCGACCACACAGAATTTACTTTTAGAGTTTGAGTCCTGAAAATTCACATGTTAACTCTTAGGATGGTGTACTTACACCATCTTAATTTAAAAAATAAAATATTGAAGTTGACTTTTCAACAGTTTGTCATACTTGATGGTGCACATTTCGTGAGAATTGGCGACCAGTGGTTGAAAGTGTGGTGGACAATGTCTTACGCATGACAGAGACAAAAGACTTTGCATCAAGGCATCAGAAGAGACCTGAAACTGAAGACATTTAAGAAATTCTATCAGTGCTGAAAAAAACAGTCCATGGAAAATCACACCCGGCAGACTCCTCACTGGCTTTCGTGGAATAGACAAGTCTCCCTATGCTTTCAATTTGGTCGCCTTCAAGACATGTATTGAAAACACTGTTTCAAGACTGAAGCAAGGTGTTGTATTGCAGCATGGAGATAGTGATGGAGAAGCATAAAGAATTATGGATATAGCTGCCACAAGACTCCAGTGACACTATTGCTTACCAAATGGTTATGGACCCCTTTGTGATTAGAAATTTGTACCAATCAGCAAGATTAGTGTATCGGCTGAGAGGGATGAGGGATTTGACCTAGAAATGAGTTACATATTAAAATCAATCTGTTATGGCCATGTATGTGTATACCAAGTCTACATGCTGTAAATGACCGGATGTTTGTCATAGTCAGTTTGGATATCACTATTGCCGATACCATGAGTTGTTAAAGAGTTATTATATATATCACATTTGCATGCTTTATAGTGTCTACTACTCTGGAATCAATCATCCATGTATGTGCATATCAATTGACCATTGACATAGCTTAGTTGTAACATCAAAGTCCTTATTCAGTATAGTTGGCCAGGTACCTCCTACAATTACATTTTATGAAGCACACATGAAACTTTACATGCCAAATTACATCTTTTATTAAAGGTCACTAATTGTTGCAGTTTCCACTGGATTGTGGGATAGGTTGTTGTATAGTAAAATATTTTATTGCATTTAAGTATTAAATGAAAATGAAACACAGTTTCAAACTGTTGTCGAAAAGAGCAGAGTTTTATTGTCCACCATGGTATGTTTTTCATAACATTTCACCTTGAAATTGTGAAATGACATCCTAAATTCATATCAGAATCTTACAATGATTCATCAAAGCTTTTTTGTCTCATATAGTTCTGGTTGAAGTAAAGATAAAAATACCAGAGTAATGCATCTGGCACGTACATGTTCAAATTACCTTTCTCGATAAGAAATGTCTTTCAAATGTTGTCACACTTGATGTACCACTCCCTATGTATTGATCTCCAATCTACAGTGTTGACCAAGATAATTCAGAAGTTCTAGTAAACATATGTCCCCTAGAATAGATACTTGAAATGGATGGTGAAAGACTTGGTGTGATAACACTTTGATTCATGTACCATGCAGTTGCCATGTACAAAGTTATTGCTGTAGTAACTTTTGAAAGAATTGCTTTGTTAGATGATTTTCCAACTCATAAAATATGCAGTTCTTTCAAGAAGAAAAGTTATGGATGCTTGTCATGTCCATGATAGCATTTGCTGTTTCTAATTCTGACAAGTATGTTTTCATATCTGACAAGTATGTTTTCATATCAACTTTGTTAAGCCTTGTACCCATGCTCTGGAATAGTAAAATCATGTTTTGCTCTTTTTATGAAAATGGATGTATTTTGGTAGGGGTGGATGTCACTTTAATGTGGGAACAGATCTCCCAAACACACCATTTCAATGTGCAAAACATGCATTTGGTTCTCAATTATATGTCTTGTTAACTTGAAGTTTCATAGTTGAACTTTACTGTCAAGGAAGATGTAAGGAGAAGGCCTTTTTGTGAGTACTAGTTTCTTTAGCTAAGTTAAATAAGTAAATTTATCACTTGGTGTTGAGGATAATGAAAATATTTGTCTTTTAACATTGTTACTCACAGACACTTTGGGTAGCATTTTGGTGTTATTATTTAAAGAATGTGATTTTGTTAGATGTGTTGACACGACACATTGTCACCACGTGGCTGAAAGGTATTTTATTATTTCAGACTTGGGGAAAACTTCTGGTTTTCCTAGTCAAGAGTTCGTCAAGATATAAGGCAGTACTACACTATTCTGGACGACAAGACAGAGCTGTTACAATCGTATCAGGATTACATCCGTGGAATATTTTGTTGTTGCATTCTGTGTTTATGACCATTAGTGAACGTGTATACTTTTGACCATTGTTTTTGACCATCTGGATGTGATTGGATTTGTATTTGTGCTGATTAGTACAAGGTGCCCTGATTACCTAGATTATCTTTTTATACTGTTTCATGCTACTGTTTGTGTTGAGGTTGTAATGCATATGTGGTACAGGTTTTATTTTCCATTTGTAGTAATATGTGCTGAATATCCATTGGGTCTACTTTTGATTTGTGACAAAAACAATCTGGCCATGTTTGACAGTGTGTAAATACTCTTTGTCATGTTTAACTATCATAAAAAAACAAACCTAAGGAATTGATGTAGCCACAGAAGATTCGTTGAACATGTTGAAGTTGCAAGCATACAATAGGCAATAATTTGTTTTTCTTTTGGATCTTGATGCACCTATGAGAACATAAGTGAATGGTTGGTCAATGGATAACGTTTCTACTTTATAAAATATTGCTTGCCTGAAATACATATCTTCTGGAAGTGTAGTGTATGTTGTTATTTCTTAGATTGAATCATACATGGCAGACTACAGCAATATGTTTAGATTATCAATTTCATTAAAATGTGGACCATTACTGCCATACAAGTAAACCCTGATCATGAACAATCCCTGAAAAAAGAAATACACAATAAACGTCAGAGCTTACAATCTCTGTACATAAAGCATATGTCCTTTCTCATTTATGAAAGGAAAGAATCCGATTTTGCTCTACAGTTTGCACAACACTTGTCAGAATCGCCATTGAACAATACTGAGTCAAATCCAAAGTAAGAGACCAAGTGCAACCTCAAACAATCCTTGGTGACACAATACTGCACCATTACCTCTGTCATGCCTTCACGGTTGGCTGCAATGTCACTTTTATTATAAAATAAGACCGCATTTGAGGGTTGTCCAGATCTACCAGCACGGCCAATTTCTTGGAAATACTTCTCCAATGTTGTTGGGGATCTGAAATGAATCACACGGGTAATACTTGTGGCATTTAATCCCATGCCTAAAGCTACTGTAGCTAAAACCAGTCTTAATTTAGGATTGTGTTTTCTGAGCTCCAGAACAATGTGAAGTTTCATGGCTTCTGTGGAATTGAGCAAACAACCTATTCTCTGGAGTAGGACAGTCTGAAGGTGTATACCCATGTGTCTTGCAACATACTGGTACGAATAGCTTAAATCTGCATCATTGTTTATGTAAACAACTGTGATTGGGGAATCAGCAAGTTTTGAATGCAACTCGACTGCCAATGGACGTATTAGATGATCTAGCTTGTCATATTTCCTCATGTTCGGCAGACTTGTTTTAACCTGTAAAGGAGAACATATGTTTACTTATCATATTGGACATTTATCCATCACAGGTAACAGTTTATATGATTACATTACCAAGGTGTTAGTTTTGACGAGGGAATGCTCTGACCACTGGGTTACACCACCGCCCAAGAGCTTATGAAGTTATAGGGTTCAATTTAAGGAAGCAGAACGAACTTCCTCTCTGTGTTATCATTATGCCGGTGTGTTAAGATCCTTTTATCTTCCTCCAGGACATGACAGTAACAGTCATTCACTCCTCAGTCACAGGCCAGGTCCTCATTCAATTTGCCTGCTGTTCAAAGTCTCTTCTTCAAACAGCAAAATAATAACTTGCACTGGATATTAATATGACTTTGCATTTTGTACTTTTGTGTTGCACAAGTGTCAGTGTAAAATATTTAAGAACACACCCTGAAGATATGTCACCCATGACCTAAAGTATCCTTGGTCACATTCTGTCAAGAAACAGTGCAAATTACAAATAATAATTAATAGGATCCCAGTGAGCAAGTTTGTACAAAACGTGCTAAAAGTATTCAGCATTACCATGCTTACTGTCATTGATCAATATGTATGTAAGAACACTAACCTCAAGGTATATATTTGGCCGATCTGGGTTGATGGTAACCAAATCATAATCTGTAAACTGCAGATCTGAAGCAAGGGTCTTCACAGCAGTTGGCGTGGCAGTAGCTGTCAGTGCAAGGTGTGGAGCATCGGGGAAAATGCATACAACTTCTGACAGCTTCTTGAAAGGTGTGCGCAACTTAGGACCCCTGTGAAAACAGTGTGTACAATTTTGTAAATTTCGCAATTGCAATAACTTATCACTGTGCTTAATATTCCTTCGTAACATGCATTCCCATGTATAATTAGTGAGTGAGTTTTACACCGCTTTTAGCAATATTTCATCAATATCACACTAGGGGACACCAGAGATGGACTTGTACCTGGATCTTCGGTGTGACTAGCGAACGCTTTAGCCACTAGCTACCCCAACGCCCCATGTATAAATTCAAACACCAACAACAACTCTATAACCAACCATTATGATATCATGTGCACCTCATCAATGACAACAGCACAAACACAGTCTTGGTAGATTTTTGAACGCAGCATTGCCCCAATAGTTTTGTTGTTCAACACAGTCTCTGGATGAGCATACACAAGGTTATATGATCCCTTTCTTAAGTCACCCATGTTAACATATACAGGTGCATGGATGTCAAAATCACTGGGTTGTTCTTCATCAGACTCTACTTCGTCATTTTCATCTTCCACCACAACATGTCGAGCGACCATTTTGAATGTTTTTCCAGCATATCCTGAAAGTAATATGGTGAAATTATAGGTATACATGGTATATGAATTGAACTGATGTCCATAGATCTACATTTCCAACTTCCCAATATCAAAACATATACACTTTGTTAATATACACCCCAAAGGATGAACCCATCAACACTTGTGAAAGTAAATATATGAACCAGTACACTTGCTAAATGAATGAACATATGCAAATCAGGGTGCAGAGTTCCAGCATTTTCTTAGAGCCATTTTATTGTATCCCTCTCAACATTGTGGCTTATGTTTCACTTCACATTTAGGATCCGTGTTTACGATTGAACTAATAAGTGCTTTCTTCAAGTGTATGCACAACATATATATATACACGAGTCCAGTTATTTACTCTTGTCAAAACTCCTTTATAAACAGAAGATCTTTCACCGCTCAATGGCTCTCCAGGTATCCAAATTAAAAGCCAAAATATATATAGATGGTGTACCACATGTGCTTGCTCACCTTGCGAATTCAGAAAACACTTTCTCGCATAGTGAGATCACTTGGTCCTGCATTAGCGAATTCAATGGACTTACGACGATTACAATCCCTGGAGATGGGCGATTTCTCTGTAGAAGAAATGGCAACAGTTGATAAATGAGACTTTTCCCATTACCAGTAGGCAACACAGATATACAGTCACGTCCGGCAAACACATTTTTCAAAGTTTCCACTTGCTTGTCCATTAGTTCAAAAGAAATGTTCAGATTTTGTTTGGCATACGCTAATGCTTTTTCAATTCGGAGGCCATTTTGCGTAAGGTGAGTGAGTTATTATTTAAGGTCACATCGGCAATATTTCAGCCATATCGTGACGAGAACATATTTGATTTTGAAGTGGAAGATATGTATAATATAAAAACCTGTGGACGAAGTACAGTAAAAACAACTAGAATATCACAATTAGAATTAAAACTAGCATGGAAAGTTTAAAACTAATAGCACTATAGGGACAATACAATATAAAAACAGGCTATAGATCGCCAACAACAGAAGGTAGATCACCATACTGGGGACAATGGGGACTTACAGTATCTTTGCTACCTGCTTTTGCGTAAGGATTCACGTATATATTTCCCTATGTGTCATAATATTTGTAGATGGTATTTAAAATACAACGGACTTTAGATGATATGCAGTATGGATGTACACAATTAACCGCATCTCGGATATATTTTAAGATACAAGGCGTATGTAAAAACAAAAATTATTCGTGAGGGATTCTTTGGCGGTTCTAGTTGTAGTCATACGCGCATTCTGATTGGTTTGTCGTATTTTCGCACATAACAAGCATCGAGTGGGTCTTCTTGCAGGTTACGGAAAGGGGCGAGTAGTGACGAATGGCTTTGTTATCTGCCCTCGTGATTTTCCGGTCATCATCGGAATCGTCAGCTAAATCGTTTGCCACGTAATTCCTCACTGTCTCCCACCCACCTTCAGACGAGTCTGCTATTTTGATTAGTTTATTTCTTTTAATGATTCTTTCCAACTCTGACGTTACTAACGTTTCACTTTCCTCAAAACGTTTGCCTTGAATGGCGGCCAACACGTCTTTCAGAACATCCGCAGTTTCTTCATTAAAATTGAACTGCATTTTGTTACCTTCACGTCGCGAAGTGTAATCTTTTTCTGCTTTCGGCCTCTTAATGTTTTTAGACGTCTGAACGAATTCTTCTCTCAAAGCCCCAATCCGTTCGTCGAGGGCCGATTCAAACGTGGCTTTATTTGTCTCTGGCTGTCACAAAATGGCGTCTAAGTTTTCGTCAGAATTCATCATAAATGTTGAAAGGCCGGGAGTGCACTAATCGAGAATGCCAAATTCAAATATCTGCACCCTTATATACTCCCATAACACGCCATCTACCGGGAAGATAACCCATGTGAACGCTTCATACCGCTAGGAGAAAATAATTCCCCTCTAATTCATACTTCAAACGACAGAAATAATATTGTAATAAAGAGTTTTGTTTCAAAGCTTGAATAGCAGACTGATGAGAGGGCCTGAACTAATCTATTAAAACAGGGACGGTCAGCGTCCGTCAGGTACCTCGGACATGTTTCTCATACCCTGAATCATCATTTTTTACCAAGAATTTGTCTGTTGTTTTTTCCACTCATTACTCTCGTAATAAATGTGAATATTAGCAGGATATAAATCCAGATTCAAAGACAGGTGAAGTTAGTATTTTGTCAAGTCACCATGGGCAGCAATGCAGGCTTCAATGCGTCGGTGTATACTACTGATCAAAGAAGTTAGAAAGTCGTGGCCCATGCTGTCCCAATATCGGACCACCTCTTCTTTCATTTCAGCAATATTTGTCAGATTTTTCTTATTGACACTTTCCTTCATAAGTCCCCAAACATTTTCTATTGGATTTAGGTCAGGGCTATAGCTTGGCCAATCTAATAATGTCATATTTTGGGTCCGAAACCAGGCATGTGATAGCTTTGAACGATGTTTTGGGTCGTTGTCCTGCTGGAAAATCCAAACATTTCCATAGAACACGTGAGCATATGGAAGTAAATGTCCCTCGAGAATATCTGTGTACCGCTCACTGTTCATATTCCCTTCAAATACATAGACGGGCGTTGCCCCTAACACCGATATGCCACCTCTCACGTTAAATTTCGGACTGTACTTTGGGCGCTGATACAAAGGTTTTTCAGTTTGTTTAGTCCAGAATTTCAGTGTATTAGGAAACAGCCACACAGTACTTTCATCTGAGAAAATCACATTGTCCCAGTTAAAATTTCTATGCTGTAAGCACCAGTTCAACCTTCGCTCCTTTTGTTCAGGTTTCATGATCGGTGATGGAATTCTTCGACTTTTCTGCCAACCCATTCATTGCAGCTCAGTTCTAATTGTCACCTAAAAGACAGCCACAGTTCCTCTATCAATGATATTCAGCTTTCGTTTGTTTTCAGAAACAAGAATACCAAGCCGCCTCCTGTCACCGACAGTCAATTTTCTGGGCCTACCTGCGCCTCCCTGGTGCTCAATGCCATATCCATTTGCAATATTTTTCAAAACACGATAAACAGTGGACAAAGGGATGCCTGTTCTACTTGAAATCACTTTAGCTGATCTGATGTCCTTGCTATAATTCTCTAAAATGAACTTCCTCTTCTCTAAATCATCTATACTGAGGATCACTGAAAATGTCCTCTGCTAGCAAGTAAACAAAGGGGGATAACTCTTCACAAACTAATGAAAAAGGATTAACGGTGTTGTCTCCCTTGAATGAAACCAAGCACTTGATAGCTGGTCAAGGTTGTTTATACTAGAAATCCAATTAAACATATTCCTAAAATTCTCAATAATTTCTGGTCATACTATATCTGCACAAAGTTGTAGCTTATGTGATCTACTGGTTGCCGCCACATGTTGTGAAACCGTGGATGCGGCTCGTCCTTGTAGGGACATGTAACATATATATTTAAACACATGCTCGGTGGGGACAGGTCAGGAATGACCCAGCTTGACCTTATCTCTAAAGTTTTCAAATGAGGAAATACCTTGGATATAAGCACCTTGAGTGTTATCTGACAATGAGGAGTCGAACAATCTGAAACCTTCCGCTTCAAATGCCGCCATATCATGTCGGTTATTTTTATTTGGTGCTTGTCGGCGAAATTGCATTCCCGTTGCTTTCTGGCTCCACGTCCCTATACCAAAGCCTGGCAAGGATCATACTGATCCGTCAAATTACAGGCCAATCTCTTTAACGAGTTGCGTCTGTAAAACCATGGAACGAATAGTCAATAATCGATTAACATGGTATCTTGAAACCAATAATCTCATCACAAATTTTCAATGTGGTTTCAAGAAAAATCGTAGTACCATTGATCATTTGGTACGTTTAGAATCCTTTGTTAAAAATGCTATAGTAAATAAACAACATGCAGTATCGATATTCTTTGATCTTGAGAAAGCGTACGATACCACCTGGAAGCATGGCATTTTAAAGGATTTACATGATTTTGGTTTAAGGGGTCGTTTACCTCTTTTTATATCACAGTTTTTATCAGACAGGCAATTTCAAGTCCGAGTGGGTTCAACCCTGTCTGATCATTATAATCAGGATCAGGGTGTCCCACAAGGCAGTATTTTGTCTGTAACATTGTTTAGTATTAAGATCAACAGTTTATCCAAGGTTTTAAATGATTCAATTGATGGATCACTTTTTGTGGATGATTTTCATATTTCTTGTCGCGGTAAGAATATGCGTACTATTGAACGGCAACTACAGCTGTGTTTAAACAAAATAAATAAATGGTGTCTTGAAAACGGCTTTAAATTTTCTAAATCAAAAACTAATTGCATACACTTCTGCCGTAAATATAAACCACATAAAGACCCAGAACTGTTTTTTAAATGGCACTCCCATCAAGGTTGTAAAAGAGGCCAAGTTCTTCGGTCTCATTTTCGACTCCCATTTAACTTTTCTTCCGCATATCAAATCTCTCAAAACTAAATGCCTGAAGGCACTTGATTTATTGAAAGTCGTGTCTAATTCAAGGTGGGGAGGGGATCAAGCTACGCTCCTACACCTTTATAGATCACTTGTCCGCTCGAAGCTTGATTATGGCTCCATTGTTTATGGTGGAGCCTGCAAAAGCAACCTAAAACTCTTAGATTCAGTCCACCATCAAGGTCTGAGACTTTGTCTTGGGTCCTTCAGAACATCTCCTGTTGACAGTCTCTACGTCGAGGCAGATGAGCCTTCTCTTACCCAACGCCGTATAAAATTATCATTACAGTATATTACGAAGCTATATTCTAACGAGTCTAATCCTGCGTTTCACTGCATCTTCACTCCTCTTTATGAGGATTTGTATAACAAAAAGCCTTCTCTTGTTCCGCCTCTTGGGCACAGAATTAAACCATTCCTTTCTGCTGCCGGCATTGAGCTGGAGAATATATCTCCTTCTCGTCTTCTTTCTTCTCCTCCTTGGCAATTGGTGAGGCCAGACGTTGACTTAACATTAACCACATTTAAAAAATCCGAAACTAATGATTTACAGTATAAACAAGAATTTAGTCAATTAAGAAATAAATATAATACCTATAAATCCTTATATACAGATGGATCCAAGGATGGTGGCGCGGTTGCTTGTGCCACTGTCATTGTCCAAAAACAATATCTTCCAGACTACCCAATGACAGTTCAATTTTCACAGCAGAAGCAAACGCGATACTAACTGCTCTTAAATATATTAATAAACACCGTAAATATAAACAATATATCATCTTTTCAGATTCTCTTTCGTGTCTTCAGGCTATTAAAAATCTTTCTTGCAAACATCCACTTTTATTAGAAATTATTGAATTGTATAATGAGCTTGCTACTGGCCAATGCGACATCGTCTTTTGTTGGTTACCCAGCCACGTTGGCATTTCTGGGAACACAATGGCTGATATTGCTGCTAAGGCTGCACTCAACAAATCTGTGACACCACTTCTGCTCCCATACTCTGATTACAAAGCTTGCATTAGATCTTACATCCGTGATCTGATGCAAAAGAAGTGGGACACCCAAGTAGGTATCAATAAATTACATGCAATAAAACCCTATATCGGTTACACTTACTTGGGTTGTCAGTCCAGATTTGAAGAGGTCATCATACGACGATGTCGTATTTGCCACACAAGATATACGCATGAGTACCTATTGAAAGGTGAGAATCCTCCGTTTTGTATCCCTTGTGATGAACGAATCACGGTCAAGCATGTCTTGCTTGACTGTGTTGAGTACTCCATCACAAGGGATATTTATTTCAAAGTAAAAACTATGAAGGATCTTTTTAGTCATATAAGTTCTCATTTAATTATTGCCTTTTAAAAAAAATTAGACTTGCTAACTGATTTGTAAATAGATATATATTTTATTATTGGTAGTTTAAATTGGTAGCTGAGATTGTTAGTGGCTGTACCCTCGGGGGGGGGTGTGTGGAGGTAGCGTAAAATTATTGTCCTCCTGAGACGGTACGTAGGTCCCAAAACATTTAGTCAATTTAAGTGTACCAGGTTTTTAATCTTAGAATATGTGTACTTTTAATTTATGGCTAGGTTTCTCTTCTGTCGCCAATGGCTGAAGGGGTGGTGTAAATCCAGCTAGGGTCCATGCAGGAAGCAAATGTACTGTAAGTCCCCATGGTCCCTAGTATGGTGATCTACCTTCAGTTGTTGGCGATCAATAGCCTGTTTTTTATATTGTATCGTCTTGTATAGTTCAAATGTTTTAGATTTAGTTACTAGTTTTATATCTATATCTGTGATACTCTTGTTATTTTACTGTCCTTCGTCGGCAGAATTTTATAATTTCACGTAAATTGTTGATATATTTATAACTTGCTTTAGTCACGATATGGCTGAAATATTGCCGATGTGACTTAAAATCTTAACTCACTCACTCACTCTGGCTCCACGTCTTGTCTTATGGCCTTGTCAGCGCTGGCATCTTCACTTGTCACCGCTCTTCCCTTTGTCCCTGCCCTCTTGGTCTTCTTCACTGTTGTGGGCCGAGCCCGATCATGGTTGGCACCACGTGGCATCTTGATGACGCAGACGAGTGACGTTGGTTGTTGATAAGA